TTGATACATGAAACATGCGCCTGACACGGTAAAACATCCGGCGAATCGCGATTTGCACTGCAAAAAGTAGAGTACACGGTGTCGATGTATTGGTTGCGTGGCGGAAAAATGTATCGGGCCGTTGGAAATGTTGAGAGGCATCGCAACGGCATTCAGTTGCGACGATGCGCGTGTTTAGATGGATGAAAGTTTACGGGAGATTCGCGACGAAAACCCACCGTTCTGTCGAGAAACTGGTTTGCCGATTTCGCTCCGCTGTAGTCTTCTCTTCGACTGCCAACGGATGGCTCGCCCCGATCGACGGCCGATGCTGCAGTAGGCATCAGCTAGAGCGCACTAGGATGCAATTAGATACTAGCGCCACAGGGTACTTCGAACTATAAGGCCTTCCAATTTGCGGCATGCACGGGTTTTACGTATGTTTCCAGTACGCTCTGAGGCCGTGCTGGCGTATAAGAGTAGGAATGAATAATAATAATACATCTATAGAATATCTATATCTATATCTATTCTAGAATCTATATCTAGTGAATAATAATAAATCTATTATTATTTACTCCTGATAAGAAGGTAGGAGTCCCATGTGGGGTGGCTGGAAAAAAATCGCGCTGACAGGCCCACATACATGGTTTCACGATCAGTCATCCCGTGTCCAGTACAGTGGATAACAATAATTTGAAATTGTGAAAGCAATAAAGATTGCTATGGAACACTGCACATGCATGGGGAGGATCAGAGACAAAGTGCTCTGTAGACAGCTACGTCGAATACTACATTCACTTCTATGAATCTGTGTTATATCGTGTTCGACGCACAAAGAGTTCCATAGATCTCGAAAAGTGATATTCCTGGCCTGTGCCTATTTAAAATCGACGGGTTCTGAAATCAAGTTAATGGAACAATCGGGAAATGTTTTTGTGAGCCATAAACAAAACCGAATTTGTTTATAAACGAGCATGTTTCTATTTTCCACGAATCCGATTTGACCGTGATAATTGCGATAACCTAAAACGTTGTTCATACTGCCCCGCCTGATTGCCCACGGACAACTTGAATTCGACATAGTTATTTCTAATACGCACGCACCATTAGGCATACGATGAAGGGTTATTCCCGTAATAGAGGTATACGAGATGTAGACTATAGAGAAAAAACTGCATTTCGAATAGCAACATGGTGTCTTGCAGAACATTAAATTTTGGACTCTATAAGGAGAGTACACCAACTACGTACGGTGATATTTTGTGATCTGCATTAGCTCGCGTATGCATGCGGGCATGCGTGCGTGCTTTCCTGCGTGCGCGCGCGTGTGTGTGTGACTGCATAGGTATTTTCGTGCGTTCGTTCGTGGGTCCGTGCGCGCGCGTGTATGCAAGTGAATCTCGGGCGTAAATCGTTATTTTAAATATTCATACATGTCGTTATTAATGATACAAAACTCGATCTCTTAGAATCGGCGTGTCACGTCAAACACCGTCGGCTAGCATTTGAATAGCAAGTGCGTTGTCGGAGGAACAGTGTGTTTGGAGGCAAACTCAATTTCTCCGTGATTACTATCTCTGAGTGACTATCGATTATGTGGGATACCCGATGGCAACGCCACTATTACGTGGCAGGAATGGCACTTGCAATCCTGCAACGTAATGAAATTGCCCATGATGGCAAGAAATAATGGTAATTCTTTTCGAATTTTGCACAGGAGAGAGATAGTGTAACGTTGGAATGAGCGTTCACGTAAAAATGATGAAGCTATTATTTTTGGCTAATTTTGTTTTATTTTAGAATTAGGGATAGGGTTAGGGTTAGGGTTAGGGTTACGATTAGGGTTAGGATTAGGGTTAGGGTTAGGGTTAACTGATTTCTATATCTACAACATATTTCTATATTCACTATCTCTCCCCTGAGACCCACTAATTCATTTCGTGATCATCGGAAGATGGGCGTCGTGAGGAAATCGCAGTGATAGCGTAGACAGCAGCAAGCAGCGAATGTACGATCACGCCTACCAACTGCGCCACGTATAGACGGCCGCCGACCTTCATTGTGCCCAGGGATAACACCGTAAACTTCAGACACAGTGGCCGTCGCCCCGACGGGCAATAGGGTTATTCTCACATTGCATTTAGGGTACCAAAATCTAACTAAGAATAAGAGACCCAATGTTATCCCAGATTAGAAGGGTTAAAATGGCATCCGTAGCGTTTTGGCATGCAGGTAAAAATAATTGCTATAACTAATAATATAATTATTGTAATATGTCGTAATTGAAGATAAAGCAGCCATCATGGCGCTAATTGTATTTACTATTTACTGCTAATAGCGCAGCGCTTCAGATGAACAGCCACCGATATAATATCTGTTCAGAGATTTTTTCCCGAATAATTACTTATTTTTTCCTGATAAGGGACTACGCCTTCCCGACGGGGGCTGTGCCACTCCCATTCCTCCCTGCTATTGCCACCCCCTGATTGTGTCCTATATCGTAGCTCCTGGCGCCTCATGTTATCAAGGGTTAATAATGACAAATCATTTATTTGTTTTATGTTAATATGTTTGTTTAATTGTTTATATTTGTCTTTATTAACTCCTGATGTTATCTCGCTTGCTGGCGGCGTTCTCTAATCGCCCGTGGTCAAGCTAGGCGCGCGTGCGGGCGCGTTTCGTAAACGCGGCACATTCGGCAGACATGTGGTGTGGTGCGGCACGCGCGGAGGCGTGCGTTGGCTCGTGTCATCGGGTAATAGCACGGGCACGGGCCGCATCTAGCTAGAACACCGCTCGGCCGGGTCGGTTCGCGAACACATGGCGCAGAGTCCACTTCTATATACCCTCACGCCACACACATTAGCGTATGTTTACAGTGGCGCGAACGCATTGGAAAGCGGGGGAGAGTGGCGGGGGCGTAAGAAGGAGAGGGCGGTCGAATATGATGCTGCTTCGGAGACGTGGAATGCAATGAAGAAGGCAGTGAAAGGTCAAGCGAAACAATTTGGCGGATGGTGTCATACGTCATGAGTAAGGGAATAAAGGATAACGAGAAGCAGAGCTAGCAAGGGACAGAGGGAGAAAGGGGGAGGGGGAGAGAGAGAGATGGGAGGATAACCCGCGCGTACGCGCGCAAGGGAGAGTGATAGACGTTTTTCTCATCTGTCTGGGTACATATATACTAGGTACATGGTTATAACTAAATATATACGCACGAAAAACAGTAGGAGAGATACAGAACGAAGGGCACACGCCCGTGCACAGAGAGACTGCCTGCCTGCCTGCCTGTCCGTCTGTCTCTCTGTAATCTTATCTGCCTGCCTGCTTGCCTCTCTGCCTGCTTGCTTACCTCTCTGCCTGTCTGCCTGCTTGCCTGCCTGCCTGCCTGCCTGCCTGCCTGCTTGCTTGCCTGCCTGCCTGCTGTCTGTCTGCCTGCTTGCCTGTCCGCCTGCCGGCCTACCTGCCTGCCTGCTTGCTCGCCTGCCTGCCTGCCTCCCACGTCTGCCTGCCGTCCAACCCGCCTGCCTGCTAGCCTGTCTGCCTACTTGCCCACCTGTCTGCCTGCCTGCCTGCCTGCCTGCCTGCCTGCCTGCCCGCCTGCCTGCCCTTCTACCTGCCTGCATGTCTGCCTGCCTGCCTGCATGGCCGCTAGCAAACTGTTATAGCCGCCCGATCGAAAATACACTCAAGGAAATTTGCGCGCGGATTACTTTTCGTGTACATTCTCTCTACAGCTCCTCGAAAAGCAACAAATCTGCCATTAGTCGGCTGTTAAAAACTCGGATTAGCCGCGCGAACTTTCCCGACACCGTATGATTTATTGAGTGTTCTGGACACGCTCGCGGAGCTCCGCTACAGGCTGCTTACGAGTCCGCCTTAACTAACCCGCATAGCTGTATTATCTATCGTGACAAATCTCATTCACCCACAAACACACACGCAAGCATGCACGCACGCAAACACATACGAACGTACGCGCGCGCACGCACGCGCGCACATACATAGACGCACGCACGCATACACA